ATCTCTGACGTCTTCTCAAGCTCTGTTTGTTTTAATTTGTTGAGGGTCATATCTTTAAATTTTTTTACAGACACAATGAATTCCAAAGTGTTATGTTCATCTAGACATGCAGCACACAGCTTTCTTGAGTATTAGCACGTGTGAGGAGCATAACATATTGAAGTAATTTGATTTTGAAAATGTCGAGTGCATTACATAACTTTTTTTAAAAAAATAATGAATTTCTATTACTAGGTTTTCAGTTTTATATGACAAATGAGGAAAGTAACTTTTTTATCCATTTTAGGATATGGGCTTGATTAAGAAGTTTTGTTGATAATGTGAGGTGGATTCTCCATATATAATATATATATAAATAAATCAAACAAACTATTGTATGACTTATTTCTTTAAGAATATAGAATAAATTCTTACTTTGAAATTTACCTTACTAATTATATACATTTTATTTCTATATTTATATATTTATAAATTATATTTTGATTATTACTATTGTTATTACAATTATTATTATTATTATTTACATATTTGATTTTACATCAATTATCATCAATTTCTATTTATTATAAAAGGAATATAATTGATTTCATAAAATCAAATATGTTAATAAAATATAATAATAAAAACATAAGGATTGAATAAATAAAGAGACTAATTCTACAAAAGAATTAATAATCAAATCAAAAGCAAATTGTTAAAAGAACTGATAATAATTAAATAATTAAATGTTTATCTTCCACCTCTTTAAAATTTAGAAAAACAAGAATCAATAGGATACTTTAATTAAATAACATTTTTTTTAATGAAATTTCTTTTATAAATTTATTTATAATATAAAAAGAATGTAAAAAGTAATAGAAATTCATTATTTTATAAAAAATATTGTATGAATTGCAACAGTTAAATGTGACATAATCAACAACTTAACAACGAATGGCTTTTAAGAAAATGCTCTCAAATACTTCAATAAATTTGAAAAATTATGGGACAAGCTATCCCAATCTATTCAACTAATATATGATTAGATTGAAATGGAAAACTCATCAGATATTGATCTCATAAACTCTAACATAGCAGAATTTTCCTATACTGATATTGAAAAACTTGTATCAATAGTTGAAGGAAAATCATTAATTGATTGGAAGGATATGAAGAATTTGTATATGAAGAAGTTAGATGAGACTCAACTGTGAAAAAGAAATTTATGTCTTTATTAATTAATTGTAGTCACAATAATTAGGGATTAACTAACTAATTAAATAAGATCTTTACATTATATTTTAGGATTCCATCTTAAAAGGAAGATGTTGGTGAAGAAGAACCTTATAAAAAGATAGATGCTCTTTATTAAATATTATCCTAAATATTGATAAATCAATCTTTACAGAAATACTGCAGGTTCGAAAAAAAAGAGAAAACCCCAGGCATACTTGGATATTTCTCATAGAAAAACAATAAAAGATATACCAATCCTTGAAAAACAAGTTGATATCAAAAATAACTAATTTATTAAGAAATATCCAAGAGCATCCCTTTAGCAAAATTAATTACTCTGTAGTATCTAATGATAAGGTAAGGGGAGATTTAGTCAAAAAGAAATTGGAGAACTAGAAAATAATTGATTTTCTAAAGTTTTTAGTCCACTTAACTAGTATTGATGATAGATTTGTATAGTGTGGATCCAATTCACTTAACTTATTGGTAGAAATGAAGCCGATCTAAGTAATTAAAGTTGGGAAGACGTTAGAATAAAGGAAGCATTTTTAATAAGTGGAAGTTTTGTAAGATGCAACTTTAATGGAGCAGAATTTGATGGTGTAAATGTAAGTGGAGTGAATCTTAATGGTGCTTTACTATTTAATTGCAAATGGAAAAATATAAAGTTTTAATGTAAAACAATATTTACAACTTTAATGTTTGTAAGTTTTTAATCATGTATGTGGGGAATAAGTATAATTATAATTAAACTGAACAAATACAAACAACACATCAGTAAAGTTCCATGTTTTCTTAGATATGCATAAAAATTATAACAGTAGCATGTATTTGAATTATAAGATTCTCTCTATACTTTAGTTAAAAGTCATATCTGAATCTTGATTGATTGATATAATAATAATTTATATGTTCTTGTTAAATGTTCTTGTATAATTTGATTAGCAGTACCTAAACTTTCTGGCATCCACCACTATCATATGTTAGTATTATTAAATCCAGTAGCATATATTCATGATTATTACAATTTCTATCTACAATTAAAGTACATCAATAATTTTATATTTTTTGCTACACTTGCTAATTAATGGTTTATTAGTTTGAAATATTGGTTGAATTCTTGTATATAAATTCATCCAAGAATAATAATATTAATGATCAATATCAATATCAATATGAGTTTCACAAATTATAGTTAAGAATTTTAATCCATTTTATTATGCTGCCATCCTACCAAGAGGAACACAGAGAAAGTTACTAATAAGAGATGAGATTTCCACTAATATTATTATTACTAATGCTTTACCATCCAATTCCTCTTTCCAATCTCTACAAAATTTCTTTACAAACCTTTAGATATATCTTATAATCTAATGCCACTTTCAATGCTGCTCTCTTTTTAATCTGATTTGTTGTTACACATTTATACATTCTATGGAATGATACATCATTTTATTTTATGGTCTTGCAAAATCTTTTTTTCTCATTAATCAACCTTATTTTTCAGACCATAATTCTGAATTTAAATTCTTTTGCGCCTTCATATGTCCGTGATTTTTGAATTAAAAAAAAAATGCATCCTCTATTTAAATAATAATCCTTGCTTTCAAATATCCTGATCCGTTTTCATATCCTTAATCATCTCTTTCTCTCTTTCTTATATTCCTGATTTCTAATTTTTATATTGTTTCAAGGTTTAATCATTTAGTTTTTTTCTCATCTTATTCTCTATATTAGCCATCCACCATAATAGTGGATATGTACCCTATTTATATTCATCTATTGTATCGACTTAATGTCTCATTTCTTTCAGATCTTGCTAATTACTCATCTCTAACACTTTTTGACAAATTATAAATTTTGTAATTTGATTATTAGCCTACGGATAAGTAAGTAACAAAAATAAATGGAAATTAATCATTTTTTATTCTCTGACTGCAAATCTTGATTAGATTAATTTGGTGGAGAATAATCAGAAAATTTATTGTATATTAAAATATTGTAAAATGTAAAACCAATAAATTTATATTTTTTGGATATTTTGGTTAAATATAATTTGACTTTTTAAACCTCAGAAATTATATGAATAATTATAGAGGTCAATAGATAAAGATAATGCTAATTGTTTTATAGAATTAAAACTTTTGATATCGAAAAGAAAAATAACTGCTATTGTTTATTTCTAAATTCGAGAAATCAATCAAGAAGAAGTGTGCTTTATTTGATAATTCTTTATGTTTTAATTGATTCTAAATCAGTTATTTTACTTCTATATTCTGCATTCTCTAAAATGCAATATGAGATTTGACATTAATAACAACTAAATTAGACAATCCTTCCGATCAATTAGTTTCTTAATTTATAATAGCAATTACGGCATCTAAATGCTTTAGAAATTGTTGTAATTCTTGAACATACAAATTTTATTGGCAAATTAAGATTAAGTTTAATATCAGAAATTTAGATATTAGCTCGTTATCCACTTTTAAATTTAATTACTTAAAAACACTACATAGATCTTTTACTGAATATGTTTGGAAGACTAATAACTATTCTAGAATACAGAATCACCATCTTATTGGTGACAGTATTAGCCTTAATTCTTAAGTGCTCTCAAGTTTTCCTCACTTATTCACTAAAAACAATATCAAGAGACAAAGCGATGACTTCTAAACATTTTTATAAAAATCAATCAATTTTTAATTTCGCTGATTTATATTGAAGGTCTGATGTTATAAATATCTCGGCATTCTTGTTTTATCAGCAATAACTGTTAGAAACACCTCCGTTAATAGATAGATACATTAAATATCAAAGCTGCAATTTTAATTTTGAATTTAGAGAGAAAATATAGTAAACACTTCAAAAAATTAGACCTTTTCTATTGTGTTCTTAAATTCTAATTGCTTATTTCAAATTAGAAAAATTAAGCACCTTAGCCTTGTAAAAAATTATCATTTAAACCGTGTTTTGACAGTCATAGAAAATAATTTGTACATAAATACAATATTAGTTTAATTAATTTAAAAAGAATAAAATAAAAGTGTAGATAATTTTACTTAAAGCACAGTAATACATAAATAAAATTTATCCAATAGCAGGTTCCCTGTTCTTGCTGAAATGTGACGTTAAGTGGAAGTTTTTATAAATGAATGGTTATCCCATCTTGCAATTCTATTTATTTAACAGAAGTTTGAGTAGTAATTCAACAAAGGATTCCTATTATTGAAATTATTAAAATTTTTGGAAATTATAAATGTGCTTCCTTAGAGTTTAAATTCTCTAAAGCTTATCCTAAAAAGAATAAAGAAGTAATCAAATAGTCAATAATATTAAAAAATTAATAAAAACGTGAGCCAAAGTTCAAATCCTATAAAAATTTTTAAAATATAAAAGAAAAAATAATTAAATCATTTTTTAAGTGTTCATAATGAATGGCAACTAAATTTTCGATAGAATAATATAAGAGAATCATGAAAATTACAATGAATAATAACATTTACATAGATGTGATCAAAATTGTTGATAACTAGATATTAAAATGATTCAAATAAAGAGAGGGCATAACAGACTGCCAGATGGAATGAAAAAATAATATTGGAATTAATAAGTGTATTTAAATGACAAAAATAAAAATCCCAATAGGTCTTGAAATGTTTATTTTCAATTTAAAAAGCGTATGCATTATATAGTATATATTTTTTATTGGATTTTTGTTGAATATATTTAAATACAGAAAGTAAATATAGAAAAATTCTGAAAATGCTTAATAATAAAATCTGACAAAGGCTCAAATTTACATAAAAGAACAATCTATTATTGAAGATTAAGAATACTTTGAATTTCTAAAATGTATTTTTATTATGATATGAGTATTTCAAAAGCACAAATGCTTAACGAGCGATGAGTCTAAGTTGAATATGTTCAAGAATTCTTTAAACATTTAAGTAGATGATATACTGTATAATATTTAGGTCTAAATTTTAAGACAAATTGTGAATATTAATGGAGAAATTTTTGTAAAAGGGCTTTTATAAGAGAAACTTAGACTTAAAATTTGATTAAGTATTAGCAAAGGATATTACTACATTTATTTCTAAAAGAATTAATGTGATATTTAGAATAATAATAAGAAAAAAAGTTAATCAAATACATTTATTATAAATTAATTTTGCCAAGTTTCCCTTATAATTATTTTAGACTTAATTTGAATAAAAATTTAATTTTTTCTCAATTAATTATTTATAAACTTAATCGTTCATCCAATCGCTTAATTTCATAATATAAATATTTGTAAAATTTAAAACTAAATTAAACATAAAATGTTGTTTTTTTTTTGAAGGAATTATTCAAAATAAATTATATTAATGCTTATATTGAATTGAGAAGTTTTCAATTAATATCTACTAAATAAAAAAGTCAGAATATAAATTAGATTATTATTATTCTACCCTGCTAGAAAGAAGAGAAAATAAAATTAATCACTAAATTTATTAATATTACTCTTATTTAATAAACCTGTCTATATTATCTTCTTTAATAAAATTAAGTTTTTATAAATAGAGAAACATTAATCGTCATTATTAAATAGATATCTCAAAATGATTTTTTTGTAGGCTGTTAATAAATTAATTAAAAAAGTTGCTGATAATAAATTTATATACTCATAAGCTAATTTTGCTATAACATTCTAGGATTAATGAGATTTTTTCATAAATGAAAACAGAAACTTCATGTTTAATTTATAGTTAGAAGTTGTGAATAAAAATATTCGAACTTTTCGTTAAAAATCCTTCCAGAAATTAATAATTTTAGATTAAAAGGATTCAAAGTTATATATATATACAGATCAAATCTATCATTAACAAAATATAATATAAGCTGTTTTATCTTTGATTTTTTTAACGATCTTATTATTTCATAATGAGAGCTTTTTGTAAATGAAAAGCAATGGTCTTATTAGTCTGAACTAAGATAGAAAGCAGCTGTTTTTCATTGATATTTTTATATTTGAAAATGCAATAGGAAAAAAGTTATGATATTAATATTTTTTATGCTTATATGAGATTGATTTAAAATCTTTTGAGATAAGTAAATGAAATTATTTTATTTCAAAGAAATGTTAAAAGGTGATTTAATGAAATGGTTAGTCAATATTAATAAAGAAGGTATTCCAAAAGGTAAATTTGAAATAGATGAATAACTAAATTAAGTATAGTTAAGGATTAAATAGGAAAAAAAACTTTAGTGGAATTAATTTCTGTTAAAAGCCAACTTTAACATTTTGAAAAATAAATGCCTAAATTGTAAAAAAATAGAAAGATTTTCATGAATAGATACTAGTAACATTAAAAGTATTTATTCGTCGATTTAGTATGGAGAAAATAGAGCTTGATTTATAGATATAATATTTCAAATAAGGAGAGAAAACAGTTTATAAAATAATTACAGATTGATTTGATGAAATAAAGATCTGAGGATATATTAAAAAAAATGTAAAGCGTATTCTATAGATTTAAGCACATCCAAAAAAGTGCACGAAATAAATACTGAATAATTAAAAGTTGAAGATAAATTAAAATAAGATAGAAGAATAAAGAATATCGAAGGAGAGAATAGCAAAGATAAGAAAAGTTAAAAAGGAAGAAAAAACAATAAATCAAATAATTATAATATAATTATTTGATTTATAAGGTTAATACTATTCAAAAAGGAAAACTTAGTGTATTTATTTTAATAATTTTAGAATCAGATTTTAGAAAATCCTG